GGGGCCATCTTAGCTGTTATGGGCGCACTTGGAGGCCATCTTGGGCCATCATGGCCGTCTTGGAGGCGGGTGTTGTGCAGATTCCTTGCCGCCTTGAACACGGTGGCGCGTTAGACCGAGACCCCATTTAGAATCTTTCGGACGGGCCAAAGCATGTAACGATTCACCTCTCCGTGCATCCTTGCGGCAAGCACAGGAGGCTGCTGATCTAATGGCCTTAGGCCCATGCTGCCACCGCGCGTCGTTCTTGACTAGGCACCTGGAAGGCCTCTTGAGGGCCTCCTGGAGGCCTTGTTGTGGTGTCTCGGTCTCTTAGTGGTATATTGTGGCCTCATGACGGCCTCTTGGGATCCTAAGGGGGGGCCTGGAGGCGGACTCCGGGGTCATCTTGGAGTGACGGGCTCCACATGTCAGGTCGCGTTCCCCCTCGTTGTTTTTTTGGGTGTCCTGTCTCGATGACCTGCTGGGCCTCCCGCGCGGGCCTCGCGGGCCGATCTTCGGGGCCTCCTGGGCCGTCCTGGACGCTCTCGCGGCGAACGGAGCGAGCGTGCGAGAACCAGCCACTCCGAGGGCAAACCACACATGAAAATCCTCCGAAGTGGCTTGAAGTAACACGAACCGTCGTCCTCGTGATGGTGGAGGTCCTGCTCCTGTCTCCCCCTCGCCCTGTCGTCCTCGCTCTGGCGGAGGCCTTCCCCTCGCCCCCTGCTCGGCCTCCTCCTCCTCCTCCTCCTCCTCCTCCTCCTCCTCCTCCTCCTCCTCCTCCTCCCCCTCCCCCTCCCCCTCCTCCCCATCATCCTCATCCTCTTCATCCCCCTTCCTCCTCCTCCTTCTCCTCTTCCTCCTCCTGTTCCTTCTCGTCTATCTGCCTCTTCTCCTCGTGCACCTCCTCCCCCGCCCCCCTTTGCGCGGGCGCGCATGCCGATCTTCCTCGGCACCGTCGCCGCCTCGGCCGGCTGCGGCGCGTCCCCCGACAGCCAGATCGCGAAGCCGGCGGGCCAATCCCACGGCCCTGGTCATTGAGAATTCCCGCGGGCTGGGGCGCTAGGTCAAGCCGTCGGGACAATTTTGGAGCCAAAAATGGACGACAGTCACGGGATGCGGACGACCCGCCGGATTATTGACGTGATCTGGCGGCCCCGTTGACAGGGGGCTCCGGCCTGAAACTTCTTCACAATTCACCCACAGACGGGTCTCCCGCGGTCCTGCAGAACCGTGCCTCGGGGGCCAAACAATGACGACACTTATAAGATTTGGATGACCCAGTTGGATTGCTAACATGATTTGGCGGCCCGATAGGGATGGGGCTCTCGCTTGAGGCGTCCTCACAAGTCACCCACTGACTAGGCTCCCGCTCGAGACTTCTTTCAGACCGACGCCCAACGGGTCCTTAAAATTGCGACAGTTAGGTTGGGATGATTCGCTCGGGTTGCGAACGTGATGTGGTGGGCCAAAGGGGGAGGTCTCCCACCTGACATTTTTGTACGCTTCACCCACAGACGAGGCTCCCGCCCGAGACATCATCCAGCCCACGCCTCAGCAACCCCAAACTGACGACGGCTCCAAGGTTTGGACGACTTGCTCGGATTACCAACATGATCCGGCGGCCCCATGGAAAGGGGGCTCCCGCCTGAGACGTCTTCGCAATTCAATCACATGCGAGGCTCCCGCTTGAGAATTCTTCCAGATCCACGTTTCTGGAACCCGCAGCTGACGACAGTTATACCCGCTTCGGATGGCCCGGTCGGATTAGTAACATGATGTGGCGCCCCCATGATTGGGGAGCTCCCGCTTGAGATTTCCATGCAATTCAATCACACGCGGCGCTCCCGCTCCAGGCTTCCTCCAGATCTTCAGGGGCCCAGAAGTGACGACCGTTGCAGGGTTTGAATGGCCCTTTTCGGATTGCTGACATAGTCCGGCGGCCCCAGCGGGAGGGAACTCCCGCCAGAGATTTCCCCACTTCAATCACAGGCGACATTCCCGCTCGAGACTTTTTGCATGTTCACGTCCCAGGAGCCCAACAGTCACGAGAGTTACAAGGGTTGGATGGCCCGCTCGGATTAGTGACATGACATGGCGGCCCCATAGGGAGGAGTCTCTCGCTTGAGACTCCCTCACAATTCTACCACAGACCAGGCTCCCGTTCGCGACTGTCTGAAGATGAATGCGTTGGCGTGTGAGTGTGTGTGAGGGTGTTGGTGAGTGCGTGACTACGTGTGAGATGACGAAGCTGATGAAATGACGATGGTGATTATGGTGAGGATGATGAGGATGACGAAGCTCACGGTGATGACGATGATGATGATGATGATGGTGGTGATGATGATGATGTTAATGATGATGATGATGATGATGATGATGATGATGATGATGATGATGATGATGATGATGATGATGATGATGCTGAGGATGATGATGATGATGATGATGGTGATGATGCTGATGATGATGATGATCATGTTGGTGATGCTGTTGATAGTGGAATTGGTGGTGGTGATGATGGATGATGATGGTGGTGTTGGCGATGATGATGACACTGATGATGTGGCGTGGGTTCAGAGAACACAAGAATTCCATTTAGGATTGTGGGAGAAAAACAGCATTAGGTTCTCCATGTTTGTGGCTCCCCCAGTGCGTCCAAGACGGCCCACGAGGCCCCCAAGAGAGCCCCAGAACGGTTCCTTGGGGCCTTCGTAGAGCATCTGGGAGGTTAGGACACGCGGCCACGCTCTCCAGGCCTCGGGAGAAGTTGCGCAGGCAGTCGAGGCAGAGTCCGGGAGCTCGCAGAGCACGGGGGCTTGGGCCTCTCAAGAGCATACACAACACCCATTACAAAGTGAACTCGAAGGGGCCAGAAGGACATTCCTCAGGGGAGGGAATTACTGCCGCTATGCTCGTCCTGGGGCTCCCTCGTCGCCACGGCTGGATTCACTTCACAATTCTGGTCACAACGTGCCTCGCGAGAGGTCCGTGGAGTAGCAGTATCGGCACCTCTCTGTCGCCCCAGTTCCACTCAGTGTCTACGGTGGTGGATCTCGCCAGGCATGGGGTCGTTGGGCTAATCTGGCTGCTCGGGGTGTTGCCTTAGGGAACGCCATAGGATATGAGCCAAACTATTTTGTTGTCTTAACTCGGAGTTTACAATATCGAGTGTTGACCGTGTCTCCAGTTCGCCAGGGCTTGGCACATTCAACAACGATTGCTGCTTATGGGAACGAACGCGTGCCACCATGCACCATGCCATATCATGCATAACTCTTTTGAGCTTGCCTTCCGTCTGCATATCCTGGAGTCAATGATAAATCAGCAATGCAGGAGCTTGTTTGGGATACCGGTTCCAGTGCTTTGCGATGTGTAGATTTGAATTACGATGTTGCTTGCATGGGGCCACCAACCCATGGTCTTCCTTGTGTGCGCGCCAAACGTGGATCACAGAACGCTTGTGTGCAGAACTTGATTTAGACGTTGGTGCTTGTACGTCCATACCAGAATTATGTGTGCACATTCTCCCAGTGCTTTTGAAGCGAACTGCCTCAGGCACCTACATGTGATACAGCAATCCCGTAGGTATACTGTACAGAAAGAAGTCGGCCCGTCCGCGATTGCCCTCTGGCGTTGCGCATGCTCCCCGCAACGCCCAGATCAAGAAGGCCGCAGAATCGCGCGCGCCAGCGTAGCACGCGTTGCAGGCTGTCGGCCTCTCGGCTTCGACCCGTGATAACGAGCAGTTGCTCTTTCTTCTCGGAATTCTTCACGCGATCCACGCGCGTATCTCTAAACCTGCCGGATCGGAGGCGCGTTTTGTTTGCCCCAGGTTCCTCGCATCTCGTTGAGAGTGGCAGTTCTCGCATATTTCATTCCGTGAACCTCCCGTTTGTTGGGCCGTTTCGTTTGTTCTCCCGCTCCCTCCTTCCCCATCGGCATATATGTCTCTCTATCTCTATATATCTCTTTCTTTCTTTCTTTCTCTCTCTCTCTCTCTTTCCCGTTCTCCCTCTCTACGTCTCTGTCCCTGCCTATGTCTCTATATATGCCTCTCTCTCTCTCTCCGCTCTCTCTCTCTCTCTATGTATTTTTTTTGTTTGTATTTCTCTTTCTCTCTCTCTCTCTCTCTTCACTCTCTCTTCACTCTCCGCTCTGTCGCTTGTGTTGTCTCTTTCTCTTATTTCTCTCTCTCTCTCTCTCACTGTCTATCTCAGTCGTTGCCTGACACAAGCTCTGCGTCACTTGTTCTCTCGACAGTCGGCGATCGGGCAAGCCAGCTCTTCTCGAAGCGTGGCCATACTACGGTGCATCGTGTGTTGGTGTTGCTGTCCACGCAAGCCAGCGCTCCCAGGACCGATCCTCGTCGATGAAGATGGCAGAGCTCACGAGGATGCGACCCGCCTTTCTCCCACAAGCGGCTGCGTCTCTCTCTGGGCCAGGCGCTCGCCCGCGGACTCGAACTCTGGATTCCGGAGTGTTGAGAACTGCTCCTGGCCGTGACTTACAGGGTCTGGCTTGAATAAGGAACACAAGGTTTTCAAAAGGGGCTCGGCCGTTCCTTTGGTTTGCATGCGTTCCGCTACCTTTTTGGCGGCGAGCTCTCCTGGTGTTCCTTCGGACTTCCTAGGTTTACCTGGGGGAAAAAAGGGGCTTCGTTCCTGATTTATCGTTCCTTAGGTCAGGTCGAATACTGTAGTCGGACGGGGCTAGGAGGAGGATCAATTCGTTCCAGAGCTGTCCGGAACGATCTCAGAGTATTCTGGAATTCTCTGAGAAGGCCGCGGTGCCCGATACATTCTTTTCCGCCGCCGGGTCTCTCAGAAATTATCCGTTCATCCTCACCCGAATGCATTCCCGTCCTGGCTCCGTTTTTTAGGCATGCGGACGCTGGCGCTGGCCTACACCCTGCTTGACTCCAGGCCGGGGGGCTTTCAAGCCTTCTGAGAACGCCCATATTTTCTCTCGGCGTCACCCCAACATACTTAAACTATATGGGCGTCGCCCCCCCCAGGGGCAACGCGCGCACTGAGAAATCTTATAGCATATGCGTCGTGGCGGGCGCTTTCTGGCCGCACCGCTCGCGAAACCATATACTACAAGATGGGTATACTATATGTTCTGGCCGGACGCGCGCCTTCAAGGAGGACATAGAGTATCAGTATGTCCCTGTGCGCCCCCTTCTCCCTTCCCCCCCAGGCTCGCCGCCGATCGATGGATGCCCCTCTCCGTAGCCATTTGGGCTCAAGTCGTTTTGGTTCGGGGAGTTCCAGCTCAAGCCAGGTCGCCTCTGTGCGTTCAGGGGGGGAAAAGGTACCCATACCTCTACCCCTCCCTCGTTTGCCGCCTTTGGGGCCTCCTGGGAGTCTCTCGTCGCCACCGCTGGGTTCGCCTCGAAGTCCTGCTCAGGACGCATCCCGGGAGAGGTCCGGGGAGTAGCGGTATTGGTACCTTTTGGTCTCCCCATGCGTTCCCAGAGCACGGCATAGTTGTTGTGCACATGTGGCAACATGAATCTGACAACGAGGCTTGTAAAAGAGTGCGTGTTGTCTGGTCAAAGGCCGCGAGTGGGCAAACGCATCGCGTGTAACGCATGCGAAGACACCACTAGATTCATAACGCACCAAGTGCGCATGGAGACGCCTGCCGTTTGGACTGTAGCGGGTCTTTGTGCGAACCAGTTCGACAATTCAGGACAGGAGGCAGAGCACGTTGAGAAGCGCAAGACATTCCCATTGGGTCGAGGAGCTGGCAGAGGGCATGCGGTAGCATACAGGCCTTTCAGCAGGAAAGAGTTGACTCCGGATGAAGCCAAACACGTGTGTAATGTGTTGGTGGCCCTGTTGGGCTTAAGTGACGTGGAGTTGGGGAACATTGTGCTTACATTTCCGCAGGTCATCAGTCAAAGACTTCGCCCAACTGAAGCATGGATCCAAAGCATGAGGTTGTTGCTCAATCTGAGCACTGCGGAACTAAAGAAGGTGGTCCTCCGGGCACCGAGAGTGCTGGGCCTAAGCTTCGATGGGATCGTAAAGCCCTGGCTGCAGTCGCTGCGAGAGCTCCTCGGGCTGAGCGATGCGGAGCTGAAGAAGCTGGTCCTCTGGGCGCCGGCCGTGCTGGGCCTGAGCTTCGAGGAGAACGTGAAGCGCTCGCTGCAGTCGCTGCGGGAGCTGCTCGGGCTGAGCGATGCGGAGCTGAAGAAGCTGGTCCTCCGGGCGCCGACTGTGCTGGGCTTGAGTTTCGAGGAGAACGTAAAGCCCTCGCTGCAGTCGCTGCAGGAGCTGCTCGGGCTGAGCGATGCGGAGCTGAAGAAGCTGGTCCTGCGAGCGCCGGCCGTGCTGGGCCACAGCTTCGAAGAGAACGTGAGGCCCTCGTTGCAGTCGCTGCGGGAGCTTCTCGGGCTGAGCGATGCGGAGCTGAAGAAGGTGGTCCTCGGGGCGCCGGCCGTGCTGGGCTACAGCTCCGAGGATAACGTAAAGCCCTCGCTGCAGTTGCTGCGAGAGCTCCTCGGGCTGAGCGATGCGGAGCTGAAGAAGCTGGTCCTCCGGGCGCCGACTGTGCTGGGCTTGAGTTTCGAAGAGAACGTGAAGCCCTCGCTGCAGTCGCTGCGGGAGCTGCTCGGGCTGAGCGGTGCGGAGCTGAAGAAGTGGTCATCGGGGCGCCGACCGTGCTGGGCTACCGTTTCGAAGAGAACGCGAGACCCTCGCTGCAGTCGCTGCGGGAGCTGCTCGGGCTGAGCGATGCGGAGCTGAAGAAGCTGGCCCTGCGAGCGCCGGCCGTTCTGGGCTACAGCTTCGAGCAGAACGTGAAGCCTTCGCTGCAGTCGCTGCGGGAGCTTCTCGGGCTGAGCGATGCGGAGCTGAAGAAGCTGGTCCTCGGGTCGCCGGCCGTGCTGGGCCTAAGCATCGAGGAGAACGTGAAGCCCTCGCTGCAGTCGCTGCGGGAGCTTCTCGGGCTGAGCGATGTGGAGCTGAAGAAGGTGGTCCTCGGGTCGCCGACTGTTCTGGACCTGAGCTTCGAGGAGAACGTGGAGCCGAAGCTAAATTTTCTACGGGTGGAGCTCGAGTTGGATGCAGCAGAGCTTCTGGGCCTTGTGCTTCGCGAGCCTTCTATCCTTAGCAGAGGGCTTGACATCTCACTGCGGCCCAATGTGATTCTTCTCCAGGAGGAGCTGTCGCGCGAGGGGATGCAGCTACGGTCGGAGGTGCTTCTGCGTGGGCTACGTGTGTTGAAATACAGTTTTGGCAAGCGTGTGCAGCCACGGGTGGATCGTGCACGCGCAGTAGGAGTGGCCGCCAGTGCTGTGTTGCGAAAGGTCCACTACACCGACGCGGAGTTTGACAGGTGGCTCGCACGGCAATGCGCCATTCAGGAGTGAGCGCCCGACCCGACAACGAAAAAGATCGATGGATGCCCCTCTAGTGCAAGGGTTTGGTTGTCCCCGTGGGCGGCGTCGTCGACGCATGGGCCCTTTCCCCGGACAGCATCGCGACCCGACGGGGTGCCGACGAATTTGATCGAACGCGTATGCTGCCTGCCTGGGTGGGATCCGGTTCCGTCCCGTTCCTTGGCCTTGCCGCACCTTCAGACGTGACGGTATAGCGGGTCGGGCGGGCTGATTGACACCGTGTCATTATTTGTTTGGCCCTGATGTTTGAAATCCGTCACAGGCACAAGGATGGAGCACAGGTGGTTTTTGCAACGGGGCTCGCTCGCCTCAGCGCCGCGCGCATCCGTGCAAAAGTGCGGAAGAGGGTAAGTTGATTGAGCGCAGGTGGTCTTCAAAATGGGTCTCTCGCCTCAGCGCCGCGCACATTCGTTGCAAAGAGCTGGCATCGGGCACAAGGATGGAGCGCAAGGGGGTTTCAAAATGGGGCTTTCTCCTGAGCGCCGCGCAAGTTCGTATCAAACGCTTGCAACAGTTACAGTGATGGCGCACACGTCGTTTTCAAAACGGGGCTCTCGCTTGAGGTCTCCTTAAGCTTAAAAAGCCGACGCTTCAACATTCGTAGCAGCTGCACGGACATATGGCGCGTTTTTCCTAAATGGAGTTCTCGCTTGAGATGAGATGTCCTAGATGCGCGCTGCCACAAAGCGTAGCCTTTCGCAATCGTCACACGGGTGGGGGGGCGGTTCTTTTACAAAACGGATCTCGCTGGGCGTTTGGTTGAGTTGTATGGTCAAATATTTCCGTATTCGCATGTCGGTGCTGTCGACATGCGGGCGCAGTGCAACGACCTTGCGCGGTCCATGCCTCCCCCGCTGGCACTCCCCCCTCCTTGCCTGTCTCGCTCCTCCTCGCTCCTTTTCCTCCTCCTCCTCCTCCTCCTCCTCCATCCCCTCCTCCTCCCCCTCCTCCTCCTCCGCCTCCCCCTCCTCCTCCTCCTCCTCCTCCTCCTCCTCCTCCTTTCTCCTCCTCGCTCCTCCTCCTCCGCCTCCTCATCCTCCCTCCTCCTCCTCCTCTCCTCCTCCTCCTCCTCCTCCTCCTCCTCCTCTCCTCCTCCTCCTCCTCCTCCTCCTCCTCCTCCTCCTCCTCCTCCTCCTCCTCCTCCTCCTCCTCCTCCTCCTCCTCCTCTTCCTGAATGGCAGGCCCATGGGGTGCCGGTGTTTCAAGGGGGGCGCTTCTTGTAGTGAGGGCAAGGCTCTGTGGGGACTCGTGAGGCGAGGGGGGGCCCTTGGGGACTGGAGGGCGTGCCGCAGCAGCGCGTGATGCATGGGGGCTGTACTCTGGTCCTCCTCCCTCCTCCCTGTACCCTGGTGCTGAAGCAGCCAAGCGAAGAGCAGAAGAAAAGAGTGCAACGTCACGAGCTTCGGTGATGCAAGCAGAACGTGCAATGTCACAGAAACACGTTTCGCGACATGGCCGTTATCGTTCTGACACCACGCCTTCGTTGAACAAACGAATCAAGCAGTGGCGAAGCGTCCCGGCTCGCCCATAGGCCCACAAACGAATATTATAATAACCTTTTGTGGTCTGCACGAAATGTTCTGAGAACATTATGGGTGTCATTGCTTTCTGCTAACACATCGGGTGTATGTTCTAAGAACAGGTTTGGGGTTCTTAGAACATTTTTAGGTTCTAAGAACATTCCGTGGTAGGCCTATAGGAATGCCGGGACGGTCGGTCCTTGCTCAAACGAAGCCGCCCCCCCTCACATGCGGAATCCTGAGCCCTGGCTGCTTCAGCTGAAGCAGCCACGCGCGCAGCTAAGATGACGAGTTCGCCTTTCATCTTCAAACTCGCGTGCTGGTTGCTCGGCGCCCCGCCGTGCGTTACACAGCCAATAGCATAATCGGTCCTCGATGTCAGAAGTTCTTCTTCATCTTCGATTCGGTGGCGAGCGAGGGGGGACGTGAGGAGGAGAGGGCCTTCTCAGAAGGCGGCGGGACTTCTCAGAAGCCCTCGCGCCTTCTGATCAGCTTTCTGTGTCTTCGGGGAAGGCTTATCGACGAGCGCGTTTCACTGCTCGCAAAGTAACTACTCGCAAATGGCCTGGATCCCCCGCGGGGGATATAAGATAAAGTGCATCAAAGCAGACTGGTGTTTTTCGGATGTTTGCGAGTAGGCGTTTTAGTGGAACGCGCTCGGCGAGCTTAGGAAACTTCTCACAAGGCCTGGGGGCTCCCGAGCCTTCTGAGAACGCCCACCCCTTTTCCTCTTCCCCCCGGGGCTCGCCGCCGATCGATTGATACCCGTCTCCGTAGCCATTTTGGCTCAAGTCGTTTTTGGCCCAGGGAGTTCTAGCTCAGGCCAGGTTGACTCCTGTGCGATCCGAGGGGGGAAAGGTACGCATACCTCTACCCTTCCCTCGTTTGCCCCCTTCTGGGCCTCCTGGGAGTCTCTCGTCGCCACCGCTGGGTTCGCCTCGAAGTCCTGCTCAGGACGCGCCCCGGGAGAGGTCCGGGGAGTAGCGGTATCGGTACCTTTTGGTCCCCCCATGCGTTCCCAGAGCACGGCGTCTGGCCATAGTTGTTGCGCACAAGGGGCACAATGAATCTGACGACGAGGCTTGTAAAAGAGTGCGTGTTGTCTGGCCAAAAGCCGCGAGTGGGCAAACGCATCGCGTGTAACGCATGCGAAGACACCACCAGATTCATAACGCACCAAGTGCGCATGGGGACGCCTGCCATTGGGACGGTAGCGGGTCTTTGTGCGAACCAGTTCGACAATTCAGGACAGGAGGCAGAGCACGTTGAGGCGAAGCGCAAGACATTCCCATTGAGTCGAGGAGCTGGCAGAGGGCATGCGGTAGCATACAGGCCTTTCAACAGGAAAGAGTTGAATCTGGATGAAGCCAAACACGTGTGTAATATGTTGGTGATTATGTTGGGCTTGAGTGACGTGGAGTTGGGGAAAATTGTGCTTGCATCTCCGCAGGTCATCAGTCAAAGACTTCGCACAACTGAAGCATGGATCCAAAGCATGAGGTTGTTGCTCAACCTGAGCATTGCGGAACTAAAGAAGGTGGTCCTCTGGGCACCGAGAGTGCTGGGCCTAAGCTTCGATGAGAACGTAAAGCCCTGGCTGCAGTCGCTGCGGGAGCTCCTCGGGCTGAGCGATGCGGAGCTGAAGAAGCTGGTCCTCCGGGCGCCGGCTTTGCTGTGCCTAAGCATCGAGGAGAACGTGAAGCCCTCGCTGCAGTCGCTGCGGGAGCTGCTCGGGCTGAGCGATGCGGAGCTGAAGAAGGTGGTCCTCCGGTCGCCGACTGTGCTGGGCCTGAGCTTCGAGGAAAACGTGAAGCCTTCGCTGCAGTCGCTGCGGGAGCTTCTCGGGCTGAGCGATGCGGAGCTGAAGAAGCTGGTCCTCGGGTTGCCGGCCGTGCTGTGCCTAAGCATCGAGGAGAACGTGAAGCCCTCGCTGCAGTCGCTGCGGGAGCTGCTCGGGCTGAGCGATGCGGAGCTGAAGAAGCTGGCCCTGCGAGCGCCGGCCGTTCTGGGCTACAGCTTCGAGCAGAACGTGAAGCCTTCGCTGCAGTCGCTGCGGGAGCTTCTCGGGCTGAGCGATGCGGAGCTGAAGAAGCTGGTCCTCGGGTCGCCGGCCGTGCTGGGCCTAAGCATCGAGGAGAACGTGAAGCCCTCGCTGCAGTCGCTGCGGGAGCTTCTCGGGCTGAGCGATGTGGAGCTGAAGAAGGTGGTCCTCGGGTCGCCGACTGTTCTGGACCTGAGCTTCGAGGAGAACGTGGAGCCGAAGCTAAATTTTCTACGGGTGGAGCTCGAGTTGGATGCAGCAGAGCTTCTGGGCCTTGTGCTTCGCGAGCCTTCTATCCTTAGCAGAGGGCTTGACATCTCACTGCGGCCCAATGTGATTCTTCTCCGTGAGGAGCTGTCGCGCGAGGGGATGCAGCTACGGTCGGAGGTGCTTCGGCGTGGGCTAAGTGTGTTGAAGTACAGTTTTTGCAAGCGTGTGCAGCCCCGGGTGGATCGTGCACGTACTGTGGGAGTGGCCGCCAGTGTTGTGTTGCGAAAGGTCGCTTACACCGACGCGGAGTTTGACAGGTGGCTCGCACGGCAATGCGCCATTCAGGAGCGAGCGCCCAACCCGACAAAAAAACAAATCGATGGATGCCCCTCTAGTGCAAGGGTTCGATTGTCCCCGTGGGCGGCGGCGTCAACGCATGGGCCCTTTCCCCGGACAGCATCGCGACGCGACGGGGTGCCGACGAATTTGGTCGAGCGCGTATGCTGCCTGCCTGGGTGGGATCCGGTTCCGTCCCGTTCCTTGGCCCTGCCGCACATTCAGACGTGACGGCATGGTGGGCGGGGCGGGCTGATTAACACCATTGCCACGATTTGTTTGGTTCTGAAGTTTGAAACTCGCAACAGGTACAAAGATGGAGCACAGGTAGCTTTTGCAACGGGGCTCTCTCGCTTCAGCGCCGCGCGCATCCGTGCAAACATGCGGAAGAGGGTCAGATGATTAAGCGCAGGTGGTCTTCAAAGTGGGGATCTCGCCTCAGCGCCGCGCACATTTGTTGCAAAGAGCTGACGACAGGTACATGGATGCAGCGCAAGGGGTTTTCAAAATTGAGCTTTCGCCTGAGCGCCGTGCACACTCGTATTAAACGCTTGCAACAGTTACACGGGTGGGTGGCGCACACGTCGTTTTCAAAACGGGATTCCTCCTCCTCCTCCTCCTCCTCCTCCTCCTCCTTCTCCTCCTCCTCCCCTCCCTCCCTTTTCCTCCTCCTCCTCCTCCCTCCCTCCATCCATCCATCCCTCCCTCCCCCTCCTCCTCCTCCTCCTCCTCTTCCTCCTCCTCCTCCTCCTCCTCCTCCTCCTCTTCCTGAATGGCAGGCCCATGGGGTGCCGGTGTTTCAAGGGGGGCGCTTCTTGTAGTGAGGGCAAGGCTCTGTGGGGACTCGTGAGGCGAGGGGGGGCCCTTGGGGACTGGAGGGCGTGCTGCAGCAGCGCGTGATGCATGGGGGCTGCACTCTGGTCCTCCTCCCTCCTCCCTGTACTCTGGTGCTGAAGCAGCTAAGCGAAGAGCAGAAGAAAAGAGTGCAACGTCACGAGATTCGGTGATGCAAGCAGAACGTGCAATGTCACAGGAACATGTTTCGCGACGTGGCTGTTAGCGTTCTGACTCCACGCCTTCTTTGACCAAGCGAAGTCGCCCCCCCCCCACCCTCACATGCGGAATCCTGAGCCCTGGCTGAAGCAGCCACACGCGCAGCTAAGATGACAAGTTCGCCTTTGATCTTCAATCGCTTGAGAGATTCAACCATAGGCAGTCGCGTGTCGGTTGCTCGGCGCCCCGCCGTGCGTTAGAATTATTCATCTTCGATTCGGTGGCGAGCGAGGGGGGGGGACGTGAGGAGGAGAGGGCCGTCTCAGAAGGCGGCGGGACTTCTCAGAAGCCGTCGCGCCTTCTGAGAAGCTTTCTGTGTCTTCGGGGAAGACTTGGGAAACTTCTCACCAGGCCGGGGGGGCTTTCGAGCCTTCTGAGAGAACCCATCCCTTCTCTCGGCGTCATCCCAACATACTTAAACTATATGGGCGTCGCCGCCCCAGGGGCGACGCGCGCACTGAGAAATCTTATAGTATATGCGTCGTGGCGGGCGCTTTCTGGCCGCACCGCTCGCGAAACGATATACTACAAGATGGGTATACTATATGTTCGGGTCGGACGCGCGCCTCCAAGGAGGACATAAAGTATTAGTATGTCCCTGTGCGTCCCCTTCTCCCTTCCCCCCAGGCTCGCCGCCGATCGATGGATGCCCCTCTCCGTAGCCATTTTGGCTCAAGTCGTTTTGGCTCGGGGAGTTCCAGCTCAGGCCAGGTCGCCTCTGTGCGTCCAGAGGGGGAAAAGGCACCCATACATCTACCCTTCCCTCGTTTGCCTCCTTTGGGGCCTCCTGGGAGTCTCTCGTCGCCACCGCTGGATTCGCCTCGAAATCCTGGTTAGGACGCACCCCGGGAGAGGTCCGGGGAGTAGCGGTATCGGTACCTTTTGGTCTCCCCATGCGTTCCCATAGCGCGGCGTCTGGACATAGTTGTTGCGCACCAGGGGCACAATGAATCTAACGACGAGGCTTGTAAAAGAGTGCGTGTTGTCTGGCCAAAAGCCGCGAGTGGGCAAACGCATCGCGTGTAACGCATGCGAAGACACCACCAGATTCATAACGCACCAAGTGCGCATGGAGTCGCCTGCCGTTGGGACTGCAGCGGGTCTTTGTACGAACCAGTTCGACAATTCAGGACAGGAGGCAGAGCACGTTGAGGCGAAGCACAAGACATTCCCATTGGGTCGAGGAGATGGCAGAGGGCACGCGGTAGCATACAGGCCTTTCAACAGGAAAAAGTTGAATCTGGATGAAGCCAAACACGTGTGTAATATGTTGGTGGCCTTGTTGGGCTTGAGTGACGTGGAGTTGGGGAAAATTGTGCTTGCATTTCCGCAGGTCATCGGTCAAAGACTTGGCACAACTGAAGCATGGCTCCAAAGCGTGAGGTTGCTGCTCAACCTGAGCACTGCGGAGCTGAAGAAGGTGGTCCTCCGGGCACCGAGGGTGCTGGGCCTAAGCTTCGAGGATAACGTAAAGCCCTCGCTGCAGTCGCTGCGAGAGCTGCTCGGGTTGAACGATGCGGAGCTGAAGAAGGTGGTCCTCCGGGCGCCAGCCGTGCTGTGCTACAGCTTCGAAGAGAACGTGAAGCCCTCGCTGCAGTCGCTGCGGGAGCTGCTCGGGCTGAGCGATGCGGAGCTGAAGAAGCTGGTCCTTCGGGCGCCCACCGTGCTGGGCCTAAGCTTGGAGCACAACGTGAAGCCCTCGCTGCAGTCGCTGCGGGAGCTGCTCGGGCTGAGCGATGCGGAGCTGAAGAAGCTGGTCCTGCGGGCGCCCACCGTGCTGGGCCTAAGCTTGGAGCACAACGTGAAGCCCTCGCTGCAGTCGCTGCGGGAGCTGCTCGGGCTGAGCGATGCGGAGCTGAAGAAGTGGTCCTCGGGCGCCCACCGTGCTGGGCCTACAGATTCGAGGAAACGTGAAGCCCTCGCTGCAGTCGCTGCGGGAGCTGCTCGGGTTGAGCGATGCGGAGCTGAAGAAGGTGGTCCTCGGGGCGCCAGCCGTGCTGGGCTACAGCTTCGAGGAGAACGTGAAGCCCTCGCTGCAGTCGCTGCGGGAGCTGCTCGGGCTGAGCGATGCGGAGCTGAAGAAGGTGGTCCTTCGGGCGAAGGTGCTGGGTCTAAGCTTCGAGGAGAACGTGAAGCCCTCGCTGCAGTCGCTGCGGGAGCTGCTCGGGCTGAGCGATGCGGAGCTGAAGAAGCTGGTCCTCGGGCGCCCACCGTGCTGGGCTAAGCTTGGAGCACAACGTGAAGCCCTCGCTGCAGTCGCTGCGGGAGCTGCTCGGGCTGAGCGATGCGGAGCTGAAGAAGCTGGTCCTCTGGGCGCCAGCCGTGCTGTGCTACAGCTTCGAAGAGAACGTGAAGCCCTCGCTGCAGTCGCTGCGGGAGCTGCTCGGGCTGAGCGATGCGGAGCTGAAGAAGCTGGTCCTCGGGTCGCCGGCCGTGCTGGGCTACAGCTTCGAGGAGAACGTGAAGCCCTCGCTGCAGTCGCTGCGTGAGCTGCTCGGGCTGAGCGATGCGGAGCTGAAGAAGGTGGTCGTCGGGCTGTCGCCCGTGCTGGGCCTAAGCTTCGAGGATAATTTGGAGCCGAAGCTAAATTTTCTACGGGTGGAGCTCGAGTTGGACGCAGCAGAGTTGCGGGGCCTGGTGCTTCGTGAGCCTTCTATTCTTGGTAGAGGGCTTGACATCTCACTGCGGCCCAATGTAATTCTTCTCCGTGAGGAGCTGTCGCGCGAGGGGATGCAGCTACGGTCGGAGGTGCTTCGGCGTGGGCTACGTGTGTTGAAATACAGTTTTGGCAAGCGTGTGCAGCCACGGGTGGATCGTGCACGCGCAGTAGGAGTGGCCGCCAGTGTTGTGTTGCGAAAGGTCCAATGCACCGACGCGGAGTTTGACAGGTGGCTCGCACGCCAATGCACGGCAATGCACGGTGAGCGCCCGACCCGACAAAAAATAAGATCGATGGATGCCCCTGTAGTGCAAGGGTTTGGTTGTCCCCGTGGGCGGCGTCGTCGATGCATGGGCCCTTTCCTGGACATCATCGCGACCCGACGGGGTGCCGACGAATTTGATCGAGCGCGTATGCTGCCTGCCTGGGTGGGATCCGCTTCCGTCCCTTTCCTTGGCCCTGCCGCACCTTCAGACGTGACGGTATAGCGGGTCGGGCGGGCTGATTGACACCGTGTCACTATTTGTTGTTTGGCCCTGATGTTTGAAACTCGCAACAGGTACAAGAATGGAGCACAGGTGGCTTTTGCAATGGGGCTCTCTCGCTTCAGCGCCGCGCGCATCCGTGCAAAAGTGCGCAAGAGGGTGGGATGATTGAGCGCAGGTGGTCTTCAAGATGGGACTCTCGCCTTAGCGCCGCGCACATTCGTTGAAAAGAGCTGGCATCGGGCACAAGGATGGAGCGCAGGGGGGGTTCAAAATGGGGCTCTCGCTTGGGCGCCGCGCAAATTCGTATCAAACACTTGCAACAGTTACATGGATGGCGCACACGTCGTTTTCAAAACGGGATTCTCGCTGGAGACTTCTTTGAACTTGAAGAGCAGACGCTTCAACATGCGTAGCAGCTGCACGGACAGATGGCGCGGCGCTTTTTATCTGGAGTTTTCGCTTGAGATGAGATGTTCTAGATGCGCGCTGCCAGAAGCGCTGGCTTTCGCAATAGTCACACGGGTGGAGGGGGGGGGGTGTTCTTTTGCAAAACGGATCTCGTTGGGCGTTTGGTTGAGTTGTATGGTCATATCTTTCCGGATTCGCCTGTCGGTGCTGTCGAAATGCGGGCGCAGTGCAACGACCCTGCGCGGTCCATGCCTCCCCCGTTGGCATTCCCCCCTCCCTGCCTGTCTCGTTCCTCCTCGCTCCTCCTCCTCCTCCTCCTCCTCCTCCTTCCCCTCCTCCTCCCCCTCCTCCTCCTCCTCCCCCTCCTCCTCCTCCCCCACTTCCTCCTTTCTCCTCCTCCTCCTCCCCTCCTCCTCCTCCTCCTCCTCCTCTCCTCCTCGCTCATCCTCCTCCTCCCCTCCGCCTCCTCCCTCCATCTCCTCCTCCTCCTCTCCTCCTCCCTCCTCCTCCTCCTCCTCCTTCTCCTCCTCCTCCTCCTCCTCCTCCTCCTCCTCCTCCCTCCTCTCCTCCTCCTCCTCCTCCTCCTCCTTCCTCTCCTCCTCCTCCTCCTCATCCTCCTCCTCCCTCCCTCCCTCCCTCCCTCCTCCCTCCTCCTCTCCTCCTCCTCCTCCTCCTCCTCCTCCTCCTCGCCCCCATCCTTCTCCTCCTCCTCCTCCTCCTCCTCCTCCTCCTCCTCCTCCTCCTCCTCCTTCTCCTCCTCCTCCTTCTCCCTCTTACTCCTCCTCCTCCTCCTGCTCCTCCTCCTCCTCCTCCTTCTTCTGCTCCCTCCTCCTCCTCCTCCTCCTCCTCCTCCTCCTCCTCGCCACCGCACTGCTTTCAGTGCATGGGCTTTGTCCTGAGCTGACGGTGCTCTGGCGCGCATCGTATGCGGTCATGTCTTCAGTTTTGGCCTCGCTCCGTTGCGGACGGTCGGGGCGGTTGTTCGCTTGTTCTTTGTTGCGGTCTCTATTCCGTTCTGGCCATCTTCCACTCACCCTCTTCTTCTCCGCCGTACCCAGATAAGCGCAGGGGAAGCCCATGCCAAGAAACACCCTGCTTGCCTTCAGGGTGCCCTGGGTTTCTTTGGCTTCGATGGTTTTGCTGTAGAAAGCATGACTTCCCCACGCCAAAATCAATGGACGTCCTGGTGTTCTAGGGTCGGGATGTTTGTGGAAGGTGTCTTGTGGTCGAGCTCCAACTGTATTTCGTTTCGGCCATCTTCAACTCACCCTCCTTCTTCTCCTCTGCTGTATCTAGATAAGTAGCAGTCGGTTCGCCCGTATCCGAACTGTCTCATTCTCTATCGCAGGAGCTCCCCCAGGTCTCTGACCAAGGACCGGTACTGCTGGCACATCGGATAAGAAACCAGCTTGCCAGCGCGTCCCCATGGAAAATTCGTTTTCCCCGAAGGTTCCAGGGATCCGCAGAAGTCCTGGAGCCGCTTGGTGAGGTTAAAGATGCATGGCAAATGTGCCCATGCCTGTCTTATGCCGGGAGTTCTTGTCGCATGAGCACGGCGAATTCAGGAGCGGCATAATCCAGGGCTCCGCAGGCTGAGCCATGCTCGAACGCCGATGCCGCATGAGAGGGGAATGGCGCTTGTCACAGCACCTGTGGGCGTGGGGGAGCGCGGGGAGAGGAGAGGGGAGGAGGAGACAGCTGCTGGCAGCCACACGTGAACCCAGACCCGGTGCCCAGCCACTCGGACCAGCAGGGGGTTCCACCAGTGGGGGCTTAGAGAGGGCGACGTGGTCAAGGGCGAAGTGTTATGTCGGGCATGTCGCTCTACAGGAGGAATATTCAAGAATAGGGAAACATGGTCTGGGGACGATTCGTTGTGCTGTTTTGACCTTCTGGGGTTATGTGATGATTCTGCTTCATTTGTCTTCCAACATCCGCTTGTAGGAGGACATGTCCGACCTAAGCGATGAGGTAACGAGAGCAGGAGCGGCGGTCCGCCTGAAGTCTCCCTTCGCTCCTCCTCCTCCTCCTCCTCCTCCTCCTCCTCCTCCTCCTCCTCCTCTCCTCCTCCCTCCTCCTCCCCCCTTCCTCCTCCTCCTCCTCCTCCTCCTCCTCCTCCTCCTCCTCCTCCTCCTCCTCCTCCTCCTCCTCCTCCTCCTCCTCCTCCTCTCCTCTGCCTTCTCCCGGGGGGCCTCTTCGGGGGCCTCTCGGGCCGTTTGCGAGGCCGTCCTGGCGCCTCCCTGGGGGGCAGCCTCGGGCCGCCCTCGGCCCCTCCGGAGGCCCTCTCGCGCCGTCCTGCCAGGCCCCGGGAGACGAGGACGCTCTGAGCGAAGAGTCGAGAATTGTTCGACGTGCGTCTGCAGTTTTTTTTTCCCGGGCACGCCAACTGCTTTGTTTCTGTAGAAGTCCCCGTTCCTGCGGGCTTGACGCCTTTAGGGGCCCTGTTGGCGCTGCCCCCGGCCCTCCTGACACGCCCATCTCTTCGGCGTCACCCCAACATCGTTAGACGGTGTGTGCGTCGTCGCCGCAAGGGTGACGCGCCCGCTCAGAAGTCCAGCAGTATAAGCTCCGTGGCGGGCGCTTTCTGCTTGTACCGCTCGAGCAACTATATATGATGATGATGATGATGATGATGATGATGATGATGATGATGATGATGATGATGATGATGATGATGATGATGATGATGATGATGATGATGATGATGATGATGATGATGATGATGATGATGATGATGATGATGATGATGATGATGATGATGATGATGATGATGATGATGATGAGATGCTGATGATGATGATGCTGATGATTGATGATGATGATGATGATGATGATGATGATGATGATGATGATGATGATGATGATGATGATGATGATGATGATGATGAGGATGATGATGATGATATGATGATGATGATGATGATTAGAATGATGATGTGAATATGATGATGATGATGAATGATGATGATGATGAATGATGATGATGATGAATGATGATGATGTGGATATGATGATGATGATGATGATGTGATGATGATGATGATGATGATGATGATGATGATGATGATGATGATGATGATGATGATGCTGATGATGAGATGATGATGATGAGGCTGAGGGAGGCTGAGGCTGAGGCTGAGGCTGAGGCTGAGGCTGAGGCTGAGGCTGAGGCTGAGGCTGAGGCTGAGGCTGCTGCTGAGGCTGAGAGGCTGCCATGAGCTGAGGCTGAGGCTGAGGCTGAGGCTGAGGCTGATGCTGAGGCTGAGGCAGGCTGATGCTGAGGCAGGCTGAGGCTGAGGCTGAGGCTGATGCAGGCTGAGGCTGAGGCAGCCTGAGGCTGAGCCGAGGCTGAAGGCAGACTGAGGCTGAGGCTGAAGCAGGCTGAGGCTGAGGCTGAGGCAGGCTGAGGCTGAGGCTGAGGCAGGCTGATGCTGAGGCAGGCTGGGGCTGAGGCTGAGGCTGATGGCAGGCTGAGGCTGAGGCAGGCTGAGGCTGAGGCCGAGGCTGAAGGCAGACTGAGGCTGAGGCTGAAGCAGGCTGAGGCTGAGGCTGAGGCAGGCTGAGGCTGAGGCAGGCTGAGGCTGAGCTGAGGCTGAGGCTGCTGAGGCTGAGGCTGAGGGCTGAGCTGAGGAATGCTGGATGAGCTGAGGCTGAGGCTGAGATGAGGATGAGGATGAGGATGAGATGAGGATGAGGATGAGGATGAGGATGAGGATGAGGATGAGGATGAGGATGAGGATGAGGATGAGGATGAGGATGAGGATGAGGATGAGGATGATGAGGATGAGGATGAGGATGAGGATGATGATGATGATGATGATGATGATGATGATGATGATGATGATGATGATGATGATGATGATGATGATGATGATGATGATGATGATGATGATGATGATGTCTGTGTACTAGGGTCGGACGCGCGGGAACATGCTCATGTCGGGCGCGCGTGCTATCTGGTGTCGGACGTGCGCCTCCAACAGCAACGCAACATAGTTTTGGTACGTGTGTCTGCGGCCCACTTCCCGGGACGATCGAAACGGGTACGAAAAGATGGGGTGCGACGCTCAACCGCAGTTCCTGCTCATGTTGAACCGGACTCGCTGTCCGCGCCGCCGAGGACGTTGTTCACTCGAGACAAAAAGCCGCCTGCCCAACAGCGGCCGCTGTCGGTTTTGGACAACCTTTGCTTTTGGGCACTGTACCAATGTTAACCGTACCCATTTCGGGCGTCTGGAACATCCCCCTCCCCGCCCTGCCGCCGAGCGCGTACGACACGCTCATGGACCCCCGGAAGCGCGCGGCGCTGGACCAGGCTGGGCCCGCGCCGCCGCCCCGCGCGCGCAGCGCCGCCCCGCCCCCCCCCCGCACCGGGAGGAGCGGGAGGGGCCTCCGCACGCGGGTCTCCGAGGGTACTCTCGGCCTCCCAGATTCTGCACGCACGAAATGGGTACTGAAAGAATGGGTACAAGGCCCGACAGCGGATCTGGTTCATTTTGACCAGGGCTCGCTGTCCACGCCGCCGCGGCCTGTGTCCATTCGAGACAGGAGGCCGCCTGCCCAACAGCGGCCGCTGTTGGTTTGGGACAACATTTGCTGTTGGGCATTGTACCCATTTTTTCGGTACCCATTTCGGGCGTCCAAACAGATGGGCTCGGGGTGGGTCGGTGGATCGCGCCGCATCGCCGATGCATCGACGATGCGGCTCGCTGCGGAGACCGTGCTTCCACACGCCGACGTCGCCGACGCGTCGCCGACGTTGCCGATGCATCGCCGATGCATCGCCGATACATCGGGATGCCTTGGCGACGCGGCGCGATCCTTCGACCCCATCTATTCGGACCCCATCTGGAAGGCCTTTAAGTACGATATTTTCAATCCCAGCGTTGTTCCTCGACTTCGGCCTCCGGGCTTGTTCTCGGGCAACAAAGCCATCAGAAACGGCCCCGGGAGGGAAACTTGCCCCCGTGGAAGCGGTCGGGAGCTCCTTGCGGCCGCCTATGGGACACTCACATCGGCGGGCGTCAGCGTGCGCACAGGTTTCCGGCGGCCCGTTTTTTTCGGGCGGGGAGGGGTGGCGGTGTCTTTGGGCCGGCCGTCGGCCATCGGCCGTGCCTGCTTTGCACTGCTTCTTGCTGCTGCTGCTGCTCCTCCTCTTGCTCTTCCTGCCCCTGCTGCTTTCTTCTTGTTCCCTAAGCCGCAGGGCGACCTTCACGAGCTGGTAAACAGGTGTGTCTCTGGTCCCCCGAGGCCGCCCAAGAGGGCTCAGGAGCAAGAGCCGGCCTTTGTGGCCACAGCACGGCGCAGGTGTGCGGCGTGTCGGGCCTTGGGCGCGCGACGTCGTGGTTTGGTACGCAGCGTGGCCCCCCCCGCGGAAGTTTGGGACTTCCTGCCCAGGGACCGACGACGACGACGACGACGACGACGACGAACGACGAACGACGGCGACATTGGACGACGACGACGTCGGCGGCGACGACGATGACAAAGCCGCCGACGACGCTGTCGTCTGTCGTCGACCAGGAGGAGGAAGAGGAAGAGGAGGAGGAGGAGGAGGAGGAAGGAGGAGGAAGGAGGAGGAGGAGGAGGAAGAGGAGGAGGAGGAGGAGGAGGAGGAGGAGGAGGAGGAGGAGGGGGGTCGTCGGTCGCGGGTCGTCGCTCATCAGGAGCCGTTGTGTTCTTCACGGTCCCCGGGGGCCCCGGCGGGCGCCCCCGACGGCCGAGCGTGGCCGAGAGGACCCTTCGGCCGCGAGATTCCTGGCACGGCGCGAGGGTGCCAGCATCGCAGAGCGGATTTCCTCGAAGCTCGTTTCGGGGACCTTCCTGGAGCCCGCCTAACGGATCTGTTCGACTCAGGTTCGACTCAGGTTCGACTCAGGTTCGACTCAGGTTCGACTCAGATTCGACTCAGGTTCGACTCAGGTTCGACTCAGGTTCGACTCAGGTTCGACGCAGCTTCGACGCACGAGTGGAGCGAGTGGCTCCAGGAAGGTCCCCAGAATGAGCATCTAAGATTTCGTTCGGAAAACAATGTCGGCGGCGAACGAGGGGGGGAACTGAGAGGGAGAAGGACTCCTCAGACGGCGGCGGGACTGCTCCGAAGCCCTCGCGGCTTCTGAGAAGCTTTCTGTGTCTTCGGGGAAGGCTAAGAACATGTGTCGGAAGGCCGGGAAGCTTCCGAGCCTTCTGAGGAGGCCCGCACCTTCTGACTCCCCCCCAGGCGCGCCGCCTACAATGGGATGGGCCCCGATTGCCCTGGAGATTTTTGTTTTCTCAGAGTTCGAAGGGCAGTTCGCACGGACAAATTTGTCTGGCCAGGACAAGGACTGCAAAAGACCCACGCTCGAAGGTCACTTCGCCTTTCGCTCTTCGCCGCTTTGGCGTTCTGCGTGGGCAGAGATCCGCGCGAGCATCCGCTGCAGCCCGCCTGCGAGGCCGGCGCAGCGACACGGCGCGAGGGCGCTATGGTTAAGTCGGGCCTGTCCCTCTACAGGGGGAATATTCCCAAAATAATCAGAAAATTGTCTGGGGACGATGTTTTAAACATGTTTGAGCATACTTAGGGCATTTTTGGTGTATTTTGTATTTTTCTCGTCCAAAATCCGCCTGTGGGGGGACAGGGGGACTGTCCCTTTACAGGAGGAATGTCCAACAATCATGCAAAAATTGTCTGGGGACGATGTTCTGAATATATGTTGACCATTTGGGGGTAGTTTGGGGATATGTTTTTAAACAATTCGTCCATCGGGGGACACGCCCGACCTAACGCTTTGGGGAGGCTGCGGAAGCACCAGGGCTTCCCGGCGCCGAGGGCATCTTCGGGGGGGGCCTCCGCGGGGCGCCCTCGCGAGAGATCCCGGCGGCCGGCAGCCCAGGCCTCCGACGCCAGCGGCACGAGCGCCATCGCGGTGCACCGAGCGCGATCCTTTCTACTCGCAAAGGGCCTACACGTTGTTCAGTTCTGATTCTTGGAAGATTCTTTGATTTTTTGGGGGCCAAGACCCTTTCCTTTCCAATTGTTCTGTCCTGGGCCTCTTCCTGGCCACTGGGGGGGCCAGGAACAGTTAGAAGCGAGCACAATCAGAAATGAGCACGATGAGAAAGGAACGACGTGTGCTCGGCAACGTCCGCTACAGACAAAAGCCAGCGTCGGCCTCGAGGCAGTGCATCGCAGGTCCCCTCGGCGGATTCGGGCCATCTGCGAGCAGCTCCTCTGCGAGTGGTGGAACGCGCCTGCCTAGCGGAGGCCCGATCTTCAGGGCCTGCATCCCTCCGCGCGGGGCCTGCGGCAAGTTGCTCCTCCGCCGCGTCGGCACCCCCCGATCCCAAAAATTCCAGTGCTGGTGCCGCAGCCAAGGGCTTCAGCATGTTCGTCGGCGTCCGCCGGCCGCGCCTCGCGCGCAACTGAACACTGGCATCGGGGGCGAGGAACTGTAATTACGGCACGGAGCCGCTGCTCCTTGCCTGCTGTTGTGTGATGCTCGTTTATGTGAGTGGTCCTCTGGATCATGGGGGAGGATTTCCCAGTGCTTCGATACATACTTCCTTTCTCCTCCCTCTCCTCCTCCTCCTCCTCCTCCTCCTCCTCCTCCTCCTCCTCCCCCTCCTCCTCCCCCTCCCTCCTCCTCCTCCTCCTCCTCCTCCTCCTCCGCCTCCTCTCCTCCTCCTCCTCCTCCTCCTCCTCCTCCTCCTCCTCCTCCTCCTCCTCCTGCTCCTCCTCCCCCTCCTCTGCGTTGCTTTCTCGATGTGTGCTTCCTCGTTGCTTTCGTCCGTGATAGGGGCGAGGAGGGGGGGGTCGGCAAAACTTGCTTTCGAGTTTTGTGGGGTCCAGTATGGCGGCCCTCCTCGGGCCTCTCGGGGCCACACCATAGAACGGGCTGGAGGGTTTGGGGCTGCTCTCGCCGTGCTGCACGAGCCGCGGCCAGGCAGCCCCTAGCTTGGCCAGGCAGACCCTAGATCGATTGATCGATGTTCCCCCCCTCGGAGCCCAGACATGCTGGCGTCGTGGAGGAAGCGCGGCAGGGTTTTCCCCAATTTCGACCCTTCTGGGGTCTTCGCCGGGCTCCAGGGCCGTCACCAGAACGACTCCGGACGAGAAACCTGCTTTGGGAAGTCCGGACGTCCAGGGGTTCCAGGGGCCCCACATGGAAGACATCAAGGCATCGGATGTCTGGGAGCGTTCCTGGGCAAACGTGGCGCGTTCCAGAAAGGGCTTCGCCTTCGAGGGCCGAGGGAGTCGACATCACCGTCTCTTCCTCGGCGGACGGCCAGCGTAAGTAAGGCAAGGGTGCCTCCGCCGGCAGACGTTGGCGGAAGGCCGGCGGAAGGCGGCGGCGGTACCCCTTCTTTCCGAAGATGTGCCAGTTTTTTCTTCTGCAGTGTTCCAGGAGACGGCCGCGTCGCGAAAAGATCCTCTGAGATCCGACGCTGCCTGCGGACCAACACGCAGCATCGTGAACGATGACGACGACCTGTGCCCTCGACGCCGCCTGTTTGCGGCACTCCTCGCCCGCTGGTGGGTCGATCCGCGGGACCAGGCGAGAGCGCCCGGCGCGACCAGAAGTGCGACGCCCGGTCACACCGCGCGCTCGGCCATCACATCATAACGGGCCGCGGGCTGACCGATTGCACACCCAGGCAGTGGGGCAAGCAGCAGAGAGGCCGCGGCGGATGAGGGGGAGAGGAGGAGGAGGAGGAGGAGGAGGAGGAGGAGGAGGAGGAGGAGGAGGAGGAGGAGGAGGAGGAGGGAGGAGGAGGAGGAGGAGGAGGAGGAGGAGGAGGAGGAGGAGGAGGAGGAGGAGGAGGAGGAGGAGGAGGAGGAGGAGGAGGAGGAGAGGAGGAGGAGGAGGAGGAGGAGGAGGAGGGAGGAGGAGGAGGAGGAGGAGGAGGAGGAGGAGGAGGAGGAGGAGGAGGGAGGAGGAGGAGGAGGAGGAGGAGGAGGGAGGAGGAGGAGGAGGAGGAGGAGGAGGAGGGGAGGAGGAGGAGGAGGAGGAGGAGGAGGAGGAGGAGGAGGAGGAGGAGGAGGAGGAGGAGGCAGGAGGAGACACGCTCAGAACGGAAAAAGGTATCTCGCGTGCGGCGCTGGAGGGAGCTCCCGGACACACGGCGCGAGTCGGACACATGGCCTTTGGGGGGGGGGGATGCGCCCAGGAGGGGAACCTCGACCTCCCCAAAACCTCCCGTCCCTCGCCGATCGGAGCCTGGGTGCCCCAGCCTGCCTGGGAATCTGCTGTTTCGCTGTCGGGGTCCTCCTTATCGCCGATCCATCGGCAACGTGTCACCGATTCCAGGTCGAAGCCTCCTCCTTGAGAAGAATGGATCAGAAAGGAAAAGACGAAGGATCATCAGGAAGCATCGCAATCAGAACAAACATGCTGCTACGATCCACCCCTGCCCAAGAACGCGAGGCAGGGTACCCAGGGAGCACCGGGACATTTGTAGGCCTGGCGGCCGCGGGACGCAGAGCATGCGAGGCAGGCTGGGACTTGCAACCTAGCAACACCGACTTGTCGGCCGGGGAGCCATCGAACACATGAGCGACGGAAGAACACGGGGTCGGTTGCGAGGACAGTCGCGCGTAAAGCTTCCTGCGTAAGGTCGCGCGTGCGCGCCCTCTTCTCCACGCGCCGTGCCGCGCTGGCGGCCCGCGTAAGCCACCGCGCGAGGTAGCTGCGCCATCGTGCGTAAGACCAGTGCTTTTTTGTTTGTTTCGTCGCTCAACTGGTGATGAACACTCTCAGAAGAAGTCGAAGAAGACGACGAACACTCTGAAGAAGTAGAGGAAGACCACGAACACGAGTACGAATAGTACGCATCAGGGCACCAAGCACAGGAAGGAACCATGAAAGCCCGAAGAGTAGGGATGCCAGCCCTGATGACGCAGGCACCGGTGAGTCACACGAAGAGGAAAAAAGGCGCACGCCTCGGAGAGACCCCGACGCCAGCGGCCTGGGCTCCAGGAAGGGGGGGCGGCAGGGGGGGGGGGGGGGGGGGGAGCCTGGAGGCGTGCAGGGGGTCGGCGCGCCGAGCCAGCGCGGGCCCGTCGGCAGCACGAGAGATATATATATATATAGAGAGAGAGAGAGAGAGAGAGAGAGAGAGAGAAAGAGAGAGAGAGAGAGAGCGAGGAGGAGAGCGGAGGAGAGAGGGAGGGAGAGAGGACGGGGGGGAGGGGGGGGGGGGGGCAGGGGAGGAGGGAGAGGGGGCGGGAGAAGGAGCGAGAAGCAGAGGGCAGGAGAGCGAAGGAGAGAGAAGGAGAGAGGGGGGGAGCAGGAGGAGGAAGGATAGGTGGTGGTGGTGGTGGTGGTGGTGGTGGTGGTGGTGGTGGTGGTGGTGGTGGTGGTGGTGGTGGTGGTGGTGGTGGTGGTGGTGGTGGTGCAACGGTGGCATGATGGTCAACGTGTGCTCACATCTGGAGCGATCTGGAAAATCTTCAGGGAACCCTGGAAGGGAGCAGCAGCTCCTCCTTCCGCTCCCCCCCCCTCCCTCCTGCTTCCCCCTGTTCCCTCCTGCTGGGGTGAGGGGCAGCAGAACCACACCAGCTGGGGGTGCCACTCCACTCAGCATGCCTCGAACGGCATAAACAAATCAGCAGCTGCGCACAGCGCAGCGGCGAGGCCTCCCGCACTTTCTCTCGTCTCCTCTGGGCTGTACGGTCGGCTCGGGAAGGGTACCCTAATGTCCGCCGTGCTTGTTGGATGTTCTGGTGCATCCTGGGGGAGGGTACCCTCGGATATTCCGTGCGCCTTGGCCGACAGAGGGTCTCGTGTTCTTCAGGGATGCGATTCCGGCCTACATCCCCCCCTCGAAATCAAGCGCAAGTTTTTCCCGCGACGTGGCCGCGCTCCAGGACCATAACATGTCAATGTTCGCGCCGAACTTGGCGACTGCAAATTCAAACACCCGACCCCGTGGGCCGCGCTTCGCGCGTCGACCAACAGTGAAACTTGCGTTTGGTTTCGAGGAGGGCTGTATGTCCTGTTGTATCCCAGTGTAGACGGTACAGTGCCGTTTTTTATACATGCTCCGCGTGCGGATCATTATGAACATGCAGGGAATTAGGATTAAAAGCAACGATGAGTTTATGCATAAGTTGATTCATACATTAACCATGTACTAAAATCCTATATTCTAGAAAGTACGTGTTAAAAACTGCCCTGTACCCCTCCCCCTGGTAGCCATCTTCGGCGGCGGCGCCCGACGGCGCCGGGGCCTCTGGCCCGCGCGGTGCGCGGCGCGGGCGGACTCGGGCTGGGGTGGCCGCGCTTGTCCTTGCCGTTGTAGTGGGAGGAGGAGGAGGGGGAGGAGGAGGAGGAGGAGGAGGAGGAGGAGGACGAGGAGGAGGAGGAGGAGGAGCAGCAGCAGCAGCATGAGGCCAGAGAGGCCTCCCTCTCCGCGGTTCAGAGAGGCCCCCCCCCCCCCCCCCGGGGCCAGAGAGGCCTCCGCCTCCGCGGCCGCCACGGAGCAGCGGTCGCCCAGCGGCGCCGGCGCCCCGGGCCGCCCCCCGCGCCCCCTTCCAATACAGGGGCATGCGCCCTGATCGCCGAGCGCGTTCCGCTGCTCGCAGACTTCCGACAAAAACAGGTCTGCCCCCATTGAACTCACCACCCACCAAACCACCCCAACCCAACCCGAAGGCCCAGGTTTATCCTCGATTTCCAGTGGGGGGGTCGGGGAACAATGAAAAAACACATGGAATCCGTCCCCCCCCCAACCCGAAATTCGGGTCAAATTCGGGTCTTCGGGTTGGGTTGGGGTGGCCTGGTAGGTGGTCATGAACGGACCCTGAATCTCCCGCGGCGGTTGCGTGCCATCTGCGAGCAGTTACGTTTGGCGAGCAGCGGGGCGCGCTTGTCCGCCTGAGATCCGGGCGTTGCAGTTGTGTCGCGCCGGGCGATCTCCCGCCCTGTGTCGGGCCCCGGGGCCCGGGTTGATCGACCCAGGTCAAAAAAATAGGCGGCACCAGGCTGGGGTCTGGGGCTCCGGTCCTGATTTTGCCGCGATGCTGCAAGTGGCTCCCAACGTCGGCTCTCGGGGCAGGAGGAGGAGGCAGGATAGTGCGCGATCAGAAGAGTAAGGAAACACAAGCACGATCGTATGTAATGACAAGAATGAGAAGCAATGCGGCGACACGATCATCATGGACAGCTGCATCAACAACAGCAACAACAATAACAACAACACTAACAGCAACAATAACGACAACCGCAGCGTCAGCAACAACAGCAATACCAACAACGCCAACACTGACAAAGATAACAGCAGCGACAACAACATCAACAAATACAACCACGACCACAGCAGCCGCAACCACAACAACAGCACCAACCATGATCATAATATGCATACGAGAAATTTAACGACACCAACAACGGCAACGACGACAACAACAGCAACAACAGCAACATCATCAACAACAACAGCAGCAGCAACAACCACAACCACAACCACAACCATAACCAACCACAACCACAACAAACATAGCAACAACAATAATCATAATATGCGTACGAAACATACAAGGCGGAGGAGACGCGATCATGCAACATAAGACGAATACGACGAATCGAAAGAAGAAAGGGAAGAAAATGCGATCAGATCGGGCCGCCCGCCCCCCCAACGTCCTCTCCCCCCCTCCCTCCTCCCTCCTGCTTCTCCTCCTCCTCTCTCCCCTCCTCCTCCCTTCCTCCTCCTCCTTCCTCACTCCTCTTCCTCCCTCCTCCCTTCGGGCCGGACGAAAGGGGGGGATTGGGAAAGGGGGGGTTACGAAATTTGCTGCATGCAGCTGGTTTCGGCCCCACCGAGGGGCCCATTCCTCGATACATCGTCGCCTCCGGCGCCGGGAGGCGCCGGGAAAATCAGCTACGTGAGCTGATTCTCAAACCCCCCCTTTGCTATCCCCCCCTTTCGCCCGACCCGATCCCTCCTCGCTCCTCGTCCTCCTCCTCGGCGATCCTTCTCCTCCTCCTCCTCCTCCTCCTCCTCCTCTCTTCCCTCCTCCTTCCCCCTCCTCCTGCCTTCTCCTCCTCCTCGTCCCCGTCTCAAGCCAATCTGGCACAATGCGCACCATTTCCCGCAGCGGAGCCCAGTGCCAGTCACCCGCGCCTCCAGCGCGATGTCTCGAGGGGTGCACGGTCACCTAACACATGCTTCGCTGGTAGATCTTTGCAGCTAGGCGGGGCGCTTCGTCTGTGGCAGAGTCGGGCCTTGGTGCGCGGCGTTGGACACCGCGCAAAGGGTGCCTTTCGCCGGAGTGGAACGACATCATCGAGAGTCGTGGTCTTCGTTGTGGCAACTGCCATAGACAAGTCATGCTGCACGTTCCGGAGATGAAAGTCACGCTCGATCAGACCAGCCGATGACCCATCACCCTTCAACTGGCCGTGTACGGCAGGGGAGACAATGTGGCCAGGGCTGGTTCGGCACGGACAGCTAGTCTAGCAAGACTAACATCTTGAGGCAAGTCACCAATATGCCAGACGACAGTGTTGAGAAGACATTTGTGGAGCAGGTGGATCTTCTAGACACGCCTGTAGCCAAGCAGCCCGGCATCATCACTGCCTCTATGTTGTGAGCAAAGGGCGAACGGGGCCTTGAAGGATGCGGCCCGTCTCCGTCTCCAGCTCCAAACAGCAGAGGACCGTGAACAGGAGCTGGCAGGTGAGATGGCCACCGCCGGGATAGGCATGTGTCTAGCAGCACAGGCGGTAGACATCCAGGCAGGGGTGGTCGGAGCGGACAACACCAGTGGCAGTATTGAGGAAACTATGTTCAACAGCACACCATGATCACTATCATGGGGCGAGGAGTTCTTCGCCGAGATTGATGAGTACGAGTGCGAGCCCGAGGAGAAAGAGCAGCTCCTTAACCTTGACTGCGAATTGAGGGCCGCACGTGAGACTTGAGCCTGCAAGGGTACACAGTTCGAGGAGCGGAAGACCAAGCACAGCGACAGGCAGAGATTGTGCTGAGAGGGTGGCCAAAAAGCAGGGGTCAGCCCAGGGCGTCCTTTCGGGCGGCACGAACAGGTGCGGATCGGAGTGTACTTCCAGCGGCAACGGCAGTGACAGCGGTGCAGCGGGCTGTGGTGCAGCTAGCAGCGGTCGCGTCAGCGGCAGGAGAGAAGGCGGCCGACACGCCATACATGGAGGTGGCCGAGGCGGCAGCAACCAAGCTGTCGCAGGCCAAGTTCGCAGCCGAAACTCAGTACATAGCGGCGGCGGCAGCGAGCGGGAGGTGTCGGGATGCAGGTCGGTGACGTGGTTTTGCAAGTGACCATCAGTCACTACACGTTCGCGGGCAACTGCGTCGGCATTAGGAAGCACCCCATCTTCTTCTGCGCCGTGAGAAACATAAAATATAAAAGGCATACATCGAAATAAATGAGTGAATTCCAGGGGGGTCGTACCTCGCGCAGACGCCGTTGGCAAATGCGGGGGCCTTCGGCAACACGTCGGGCGGGGACATGGCGGCCAGTCCCACTCCGACGCTGTCGCGGAGATCGCGTCTTGTCAGGGAAACTCCGCGCCCAGGCCTGCACGGCCGACGCGGCGCCGTCCCGGCAGGCAGCGGCGGCCCGGGGGACGGCGCCTGCAGAGGAGCGCTTACCGCCGTGTCCTCGGCAGCAGGCTGGCAGTTGAGCGAGGGGGCGGTTTGTTGTTTGTTCTTGGCATCGCTCGGACGTGTGCATGTTTCCGTCGGCAAGGGCCATCGAGGAGCATCCTTGAGCATTCGGCGACAAAAACCACGCACGACACCGAGAAAAAAAACACGCAGGAAATGGACGCGTCCGAGCGATGGCCAGTGTTCGCAGCGTCGGGCCGCAGGGGTAAAATCCGACGAAGGCATCTATACACCACCACCGTGCCAGGGCAGGGCCATCCTGGGCCCCAGGCTGGTGTATAGACCCTCTTGGCCTCGGCCAGGAGGGCGTATACACCAACCTGGGGCCCAGGATGGCCCTGCCCTGGCACGGTGGTGGTGTATAGATGCCTTCTGCGGATAAAAGGGTGAGTGCTAGGGACGGGCGGTGCGAAGCGTGTTGCGCGTGCGGCTGGCTTCGGCCCCGCCGCCGGGCGCTTTCTTTGGTGCGCGGGCGCCTTCGGAGGCTCCGGGAGCACGTGGGCTGGTTCGCGCCCCTTTCTCTTTGCGCGTTCGCCGCCGTTTGTTCGCTTCTCCCCTGCCCTTTCCGTCGCCGCGCAGCGCCCCCCGCACGATTCCGAGGCCTTGGGTCCCTCCCTCTCCCTCTCTGCGTTCGTCTTCGACCCGACCCGCGCGGCGGCGATCGACCGATCGACCAGCGGGCCTTCCCCATGCATCAGCGCCTCGAACGACGGTCTGGGCGCAGCGCTGGCGCGGTTCGGCGCGGCAGACGCCCTGAACAGTGCAAGCCCAGGGGAGGGCAGTGAGATGCCGATGCCGCGCCGGGCCCCGGAGAGCACACGCCTTAGCCGGCTGGACTCTCCTCGCAACCCTGGGCAGACCGAGCCCCAGCAGAGGTCCAGCAAAGGACCAGAACCTGCGCGTCCCCCCCGAAGGCGCGGGGGATGTCCGCCGTCTTCGGCCCGTGGGGGGGGACGGCGTCAAAGAGCGGCTCGGGCTGGAGGGCCAGCCCCGGGGAGAAGAGGGTCGGGACTTCCCTCGGCATCGCTCGGACGTGTGCCTTTTTCCTTCGGCGAGGACCATTGGGGAGCATCCTGGATCGTCTGGCAAGGGAACAGCACGCAGGAAACCGAACAGTGCACGGAGAATGAGCGTCCGAGCGATGACAAGGTTCGGGGACCCAGGTGGGGGCATCGGATGCCCCAGACCACCGCCATCGCGTTTTTACGTCACAGCGAAGACTGATAGGTTTCTAGTAGGGTCAAAAGAGAGCATCATGATGCCCCAGGGGGGTCTGGGCGCGATCCGGGGGAGGATGCCGGGGGGATGCCGGGGAATTCGTTTTAAGCAAACAGTAACGCACTTCGTGGTCTTCGAGTTCCCGGAACTCCATTCCTGGGCATAATTTTGAATGCCCGGAGCCAACTGTAGGCCACTTCGTGTTCTTCGTGTTCCCAGAACACCATTCCCGGGCCACATTTTGAATGCCCCGAGCCAACTGTAGGCCACTTCGTGTTCTTCGTGTTCCCAGAACACCATTCCCAGGCCACATTTTGAGTGCCCGGAGCCAACTGTAGGCCACTTCGTGTTCTTCGTGTTCCCAGAACACAATTCCCAGGCCACATTTTGAGTGCCCGGAGCCAACTGTCAGGCTGAGGCTGAGGCAGGCTGAGGCTGAGGCAGGCTGAGACTGAGCCTGAGGCAGGCTGAGGCTGAGGCTGAGGCTGATGCAGGCTGAGGCTGAGAGGCTGACGCTGAGGCTGAGGCAGGCTGAGGCTGAGGCTGAGGCCGAGGCAGGCTGAGTCTGAGGCTGAGGCTGAAGCCGAGGCAGGCTGAGGCTGAGGCTGAAGCTGAGGCAGGCTGACGCTGAGGCTGAGGCTGTGGCTGAGGCTGAGGGAAGCTGCGGCTGAGGCAGGCTGAGGCTGAGGCTGATGCAGGCTGAGGCTGAGGCAGGCTGAGGCTAAGGTTGAGGCAGGCTGAGGCTGAGGCTGAGGCAGGCTGAAGCTGAGGCTGAGGCAAGCCGAGGCAGGCTGAGGCTGAGGCTGAAGCTGAGGCAGGCTGAGGCTGAGGCTGTGGCTAAGGCTGAGGCTGAAGCTGCGGCTGAGGCAGGCTGAGGCTGAGGCTGATGCAGGCTGAGGCTGATGCAGGCTGAGGCTGAGGCTGAGGCAGGCTGAGGCTGAGGCTGAGGCCGAGGCAGGCTGAGGCTGAGGCCGAGGCAAGCCGAGGCAGGCTGAGGCTGCGACTGCGAGAACAGCAGAATTCTACAACTGGATTCTCACCTAAATCTCAAGGGGAATGCTTCCAGATATGCTTCTACACATCGCTGTTAGGTTGCTTTGCCGGGATAAGTTTCATGTGTTTCAGAACGTGGCCTGAAATCCTTCCCTGGGACGGGTTCGAGTCACTGTTTGAGTCTCTTTTCCTTCGCTTCGCTTTCGGTTCGACTGGGATTGGTCCTCCTTTTCGCGCCGCTGTTTGGCGGCCCCGGGGCCCAGTGGGACCCCCCAGAGCTAGGAGGGAAAAAACACACAAGCACAATGAATCGTCGAATCCCAGGAAAATGTTCGAACATATGGGAAGTGGGGGGAAAGACGGAAATCCCCCCCAAACAAAATATATAAAAAAACATTGGGAATCCTGGGATTTGCGTGTATTTCTTTGTGTGTCTCTGGGCCCCTTCACAGAGGCCGAAGACGTCCAACAAGTTTCCAGTCGTGCTTTGTGTCCACGGCGCGAGGGCACTGGGGAGCCTCTGCAGTGAGCAGCGTCCTGGAAGGCCAGGAGGGGAAACTCCGCTCGCGAGCTCGCCGCGGACCGCCTCTCGCAAGGAGGAGGAGGAGGAGGAGGAGGAGGAGAGGAGAGGAGGAGGAGGAGGAGGAGGGGGAGGGGGGAAGAGGAGGAGGAGGAGGAGGAGGAGGAGGAGGGGAGGAGGAGGAGAGGAGGAGGAGGAGGAAGGAGGAGGAGGAGGAGGAGGAGGAGGAGGAGGAGGAGGAGGAGGAGGAGGAGAGAGGAGGAGGAGAGGGAGGAGGAGGAGGCGGAGGAGGGAGGGAGGAGGAGGAGGACGAGGAGGAGGAGAGGAGGAGGAGGAGGAGGAGGAGGAGGCGCGGCCGAGGCCGGTGCTTCCGCGGGCTTCGGCGCGCAGAGCATGTACGGTCAGGAGGGCGCATTCTCTTGCCAGAGGAGTGGCGGCAGACGGGCGCTTGCGAACCCCTGGGTCGCCCCCCTGCATGCAATCCCCCTCGACATCAAGCGCAGGTTTTTCATGGTGGTCGACGCGCGGAGCGCGGCCCACGGGGTCCGAGGTTTGTGCCTGCAGTCGCCAGTTTCGGCGCGGACATGGACATGTTGAGGTCCTGGGTCGCCGCCACGTCGCGGGAAGAACTTGCGTTTGATGATTTTGAGGGGGGTAGCTCTGCCTTCCCTCCTCCTTCCGCCTTCCCCATGCCTTCGTCATCCCCGCCCCCTGTCACCTGCCCCCCCCTCCCAATCTGTTGTGTGTCGCGTCGTTGCCGCCGTCGCCGTCTCTCCCGCCGCAGTCGCCGTCGTCCCTTGTGGCTGCCTGCGTCTTGTTCGCCTGGACCTCTCCCGGACCGCGAGGCCAACCCAGAATGTTTAAATTATCTGGGCTCACGAGACGGGGGTCAATGCAAACAGGGGTCAGTCAGAGCGCCGGATCTTGCAGTACCCTGCAGGGCCAGGGTCGCTTGCAGGATCCTGCAGGGCCAGGGTCGCACTGACCCAGGTTTGGGCGCAGGATCCTTCCTGCAAGGCCTGACTGACCTGGGATTGGACTGACTCGGGTCAGAAGATCCCCGATGTTAGAGTTCCAGAGCCACCTGCACCTTTAAAACAGGGCTTGGATCGGGATAAATCGCTCCAGAGCGTTCCGGAACGCTCTCAGAGCGTTCCGGAACGCTCTGGAGCGGCCGCGGCGCCCAATACATCCTCCAAACCCGCCGACTCTCAGAGATTTCGAGCTATCCCGATCCGATTTTGCCCCGATCTTCGCGTCGTTTTAATCTTACTCATCCTCCTCATCCCGGCCCTCCTCCTCCTCCCTCCTCCTCCTCCTCTTCCTCCTTCCTACTCCTCCTCCTCCTCCTCTCCTCCCCCTCCTCCCTCTCCTCCTCCTCCTCCCTCCTCCTCCTCCTCCTCTCCTCCCTCTCTCCTGCTCCTCCTCCTCCTCTCCTCCTCCTCCCTCCTCCTGCTCCTCCTCCCCTCCTCCTCTCCTTCCCCTCCTCCTCCTCCTCCTCCTCATCCTCCTCCTCCTATCCTCCTCCATCCTCCTCCTCCTCCCTCCTCCTCCTCCTCCTCCCACTTCCTCCTCCTCCTCTCCTCCTCCCTCCCTTTCCTCCTCCCCTCCTCCTCCTCCTCCTCCTCCTCCTCCTCCTCCTCCTCTTGACCTCCTAGGCCAGGGCGGAGCTTGCGCCCGGCAGGTCGTGCTCGGGCTCGTGAGGCCTCGGGGCTGCGCCGCGCCTGCCTCCAGGCAGGCCCTGGGCGCGCCCCGAGCCCCGTGGCGCACAGCTCCGGCCCCGGCTCGTCGCCGCGCAGCGCTGCCGGTGATGTGTCGCAGTCGGCTCCTCTCTGTTCAGGAGGGGAAAAAACACACAGACACAAGTAGTCGTCGACTCCCAGGAAAATATGGGGAAACTATGGAAGTGGGTGGGAAAGCAAAAGACCAGAAGCTATGGGAACATGTGGGGAGTCCTGTCATTTGTGTGTATATTTTATTTGTGTGTCCTTGGGCCCCCTCATCTGTACATGTATGCAGCTCGTGTCGCGACAGGCTGCGGCCGCTCTGGCAGGGAGGGATTTGGGAGGGGACATCCCGGAGGCCTCGCGCAGCACGCCAGAGGCCACGCGCCCGATCCGACGCTCGCGCGCGGCGACGCCCTGGCGCAAGGTCCGACGCAGATCCGGCGCGCACCCGACGCGCATCCGACGCAAGCTCGACGCAAAACCGACGCAGATTGGGTCTCAAGTTGCCGCGCGAGGCCTCCCGGATTTTTTCTCACAAGAGGGGAGGCAAGCGTGGGAA